GTCAGCCATCTTGGGCTACTCTCAACAGAGATTTTCTTTAATTTCTGGGTGCACCCCCCAAAAAAATGTATTTGTCTTTTTAAATCTTTTGATAGATGCTACCAGGAAGCCTCTTCAATTCAAGGGGCTCAATTGCCTTCTCTGGTTCCTCAGGAAACTAAAACACACAACCCCACATTTTTGGAGGATAAGGTCCTTAATGCCCACCTTGTTTCAGCCAGCTACCCTAGTAATGCATGCTGCCACTTCCACAGTTGTGGTGGGGCAGAGGGCAAGGGAATGGTAGCGGGTTCACGTGCTGGGCTCTCTCGCGAAGTTCAGCCTTTCTGTTCATCAGGCACTCTTCTGGTTGCTTGAAGTGTCTGAGCAGGTTCCAGAATTCTCATATAGTTTATTGTGATTCTGATAGTTTTTTTTCACCAACTTAATGGTTATTTCCATAGAAGGACTAACCCCCCACAATTTTCTACTTCACCATTTTCTGTGACATCACTGCATTTTTAAAATTCTATTAAAAAAATTTTTAGTAAAAAAACCCATAAAACATTATTAACATTGTTTCATAAAGTCAATATTCATTTAGAGATATCCAGATAATTTACTACTTTATTTGCTCTTCCTATGAACTCAGACTTCCCATCTGGGATCTTCTTTTGGTGGCAAAAATCTCTTATTTATTTATTTGTTTTAGTTGGAAAGTATCTTTATTTCACACTCATTTTTTTTCTGATTACCCCTATTTATTAACCCATTATTAATAATTATTATTTATTCATGGTAGGCACTTGGTTTATCTAAATATATCTGCACGAATGTCTTGTTCTCCTGCCCTGGACATCTTTTTGTTTTTTCACACTCATTTTTACAGTAGTTCCTGAGTGTAGAATTCTCAGTTGGCAGTTATTTCAACATACTGAAAATATCATTCCAGCTTCCATTATTGCTGATAATATCAATTCTCAATGACTGGATCAAGGTAGACTTCCCAGATAACTTTAAAAATATTTTTAAGATATAAAAATTACTTTGTAGTGCAAGTTCTGATAATACAGAAATAAAAAGCATTGGTTGCCTTCTTTTATCCCACTGTGTGTGGCCTCTCAGAACCTTTCCGTATTTGAGTTTATGGGTTGGTGCTTTTAAAAAAATGCATTCTCTGCATTTTATTGTTATTTTACCTCATGTATCATAGACATCTTTCCACATCAATAATGTATAGATATATGTCAATATTTTTAAGGATTATGTAATGTTGCAAAGATGAATGAGTAATAGATTCCTTAAGCATTTTCCTTTTGATGAGAAATTTACACTGGTGCCAATTTTTTTCCCTGTTAAAAATAGTGCTGTAGTGCAGTAATTCACAATCACAATATAAGTTGGTCACGGGAGGGTAGTACAGCATGGAGAATATAGTCAATGATTCTGTAACATCTTATTATATGGTACATAGTAACCACAATAGAGGGGGTAAGGATTGAATAATATGGGTAACTGTTGAACCACTGTACTGTATATTTGAAACCAACATAAGATTGTATATCAATGATACTTTAATTTAAAAAAAACAGGAAAAGAATTCCTATTTCTCCTTTGCTCCAAGTTTTTTTTTCAATAACGAATCATTTTATAATTTTATCAAATACTTTTCCTGTGTTTGAGATACTAAAATGATTTTCCTATTTTAAAAAAATGATGCTGCAGTGAACATCATTGTACATGAATCTTTGGCACCTCTTCTGCAGGATAGATTCCTTAAAGTGGAATTGCTGGTTCAAACAGAGTATATGTTAAGTTTTTTTCATTAAAAGAATTTATGTAGTGAGATATCTAAAGTAGTCAAAATCGTGAAAATAGAAAGTAGAGATTGTCAGGGGCTTGGGAAGGAAAAGAGAGTTGTTGTTCAGTGGGTATAAAGTTTCAGTTTTACAAGATGAAAAAGTTCTAGAGATCTGCACAAAAATGTGAATGTAATTGCTATTACTCAACTGTATGCTTAAAAATGACTAAAAAGGCATTTTTGTATTATGTGTTTTTACCACAGTTTTTTTTTGTAGATAATTATTTTTTATTGAAGGTAGTTGACACACAGTATTACATTAGTTTCAGGTGTACAACACAGTGATTCAANAGGGCATCTCTCCTATTTATTGATCAAATGGTTGTTAACAACAATAAGATTCCGTATAGGAAAGTCAATGCTCAATGCACAATCATTAATCCACCCCAAGCCTAATTTTCATCAGTCTCCAATCTTCTGAAGCATAATGAACAAGTTCTTACATGGGGAACAAATTCTTACATAGTGAAAAAGTTACATGGTGAACAGTATAAGGGCAGTCATCACAGAAACTTTCGGTTTTGATCATGCATTATGAACTATAAACAATCAGTCCAAATATGAATATTCGTTTGATTTTTATACTTGATTTATATGTGGATACCACATTTCTCTCTTTATTATTATTATTTTTAATAATTTACCACAATTTTTAAAAATTAAAAACTAGTCTAGACCACTCAAGGAGTTTAGTATGATTGAAACCTCTTTGGGGACATGAGGCAGATGGGTTGTGGGAGATTGTAAGGGGTCTCGTGAGCCATTTTAAGCAGCTAGAACTTTATTCTTTAGGCAGTGGAGGCATATGAAAAGTTTAAAATGAGGGAATAAACTGAACATATTTGTATTTTAGAATATGCACTCAGGCACAAAGTGGAAGATCTATTGGGACCAAAATGGGGGTGGATGGAGGGTGGAATAGAGGCAGGGAGATCAATTAGATTTGCAATAGTACTGACTTAATGTAGTGGTGAGTGGAGGGGTAAATTCAGAGAGAAGTTAAGGAAGGAGAATGGAGTGACCAGTTGGAAGCTGGTAAAAAGGTGAGGGGTCAAGGTCAAGGACAAGGGGTTCTGCTAGCTTGGGTTTTCAGTGAAGAGTGGTGCCCTTAACCAAGGGAAGAAATGTATTAAGAGAAGGCTTGAGAATAAAAAAATGAAATGAGCTCAATTTTGGTTGTGTTCTATTTGAGGTGTATCCAAATAGAGCTATTCAGTAGGTTTCTGGGTATATTGGCTTTAAAGCTTGGAAGAAAGGCCCAGGCTAATGAGAGAGGTTTAGACAGCATTTTTTTATATGAAAACATGTTTATTACATAAATTTTTTTTTAATTTAAGTCTTTAAACAAAAAGCCCTAATTCCACAATGGACAATGACTTGCTAGCATGCTAATACTTCAGGCTGGACAGGCATGTTTGTTCTTGATGAATTTGCATATAATAAATTCTTGTGACATTTTATTCCCAAACATATGTGTAAATTGGCTAGACATGATAACTAATTAAAAATAAAATATACACATAATGGCAACTTAAACAATAGCTCTTAATTTATATGCATCAATTCAAGGTCAGTGACTGCAGAGCTCTATTTTTTAAAATCTGAGGTAAAAAATCTTTAGGAAGCAACCATGTGCCTATCTACATTGAAGATCAAGGCTAAAAATCCATTCTTGATGACCACTAAAGTAAAAGATGTGTAACATCCATTACATATCTGTTTCAAAACAGCATGTTTCTAATATTATACATTTCTTTACAAGTGAACATTATAATATTAGCAACTAAAGAGAAAGCATCAGAACGCATTTCAAAATTTGCTAACTCACAAAGAGACCCTGAGCTGCCTTGTAAGGCATCCATTTTAATCTTGGGGCTTTAAGAACATCTTCTTTGCTGTAACTGGTTTTATGTTTCTGTTTTCATCTTCGTAATTGGCATGGTCTCTTTTTCTGGCAACCTTTTTTTCAAATTGTCCCCACCAAGGTCTCACATCTCTAGCCATTTCTTCATCTGAGACGTCAAGCTCCACTGTTTCATCTTCAGCTGCCTTTGCTTTGTTCTTAGCATTCTTCTGAAGCATTAATTCCTCAACCTCAGGATTAAATCCTCTGAATGACATTCTTCCATAGAGAAGATCTTCACATAACAAGAAACTCTGCTCTTCTCTCATGAAACTCTCTTTCTCTTTAAGCTCTGGCAAGTCCAAGTACCAGTGCTCTTCACTAATGATTTTCTTTCTTCTTCTTCCAGTTGTTTCTTGGTTTCTGAGTCCAGTCTCCTCTGCATGAACTTCATGCGCAGTAGGTTCTTGGACAACTTAGTCTTGGTGCTTGGCCGCCATGCTGGCTCTCTAGACAGCATTTTAAGATATAAACGTAGCAGAACACATGGCCTAAATAACAGACATTAATTAGACTCAAGTAAAAGCATCAGTGACCCAGAATGTGTGTGTGTGGTCAAAAAGAAGGCTGAAGACATAACTCAAGGAAGCATTCAACTTTTATGGGCAGTTGGAGGAAGAGAAGTTAGCTGAGGCCGAGGAGCAGTCAGGCAGAATGAGCTCCCAGAGCTTGTGGTATTCAGGGAGCTTAGGGAAAACTGGTTTTAGAAGGAAAGAGTGACGTAGGTGGGGTTGTTGCAGTGAGATTGCATAGACTGAAAAATAACCACTATGGGATTTAGAAATTTACTTCTTTCTCAAGTACTGTAAGAGGAAATGAGATTTTGGTGAGCTGAAGAAGGAGTGTGATGTGAGAAAATAAAGGCAGCGATACAGACTGATACTGCTTTTGGAGGAAGGGATGCTGGCACCGCACACCTGCTGGGTCCCAGTGCTGTACTGGGAACACCATGTGTGTCATCTCAGGCACGCACAGCAGATCTGATTGTTCTGCCTAATGCTGCTCCTGGCTAAAAATATATATATATAATTCTTTTGTCCAAAGTCATTTTTACTTTCGTGTATGTATAAAGTGAATACCTCCTGGATTAATAAGAAAAGGGAACCTCTTTCACTCCTTGTAGAAAAATTCTTGTTCTTCATCCCTTAGGCACATGAGGGGCAATTTGGTACCTGGATTTTTTGTCCACCTTATATCCTCTATCCTCCTCTAAGCCCAGACAGAACTGAGCAGTTGCCCCACCTCCTTTTCTCCCAGGCCCGGTTTGAAAGCCAGCGGATCCAGCTGGAGTCGGAGCTGGCTGTGCAGCTGGAGCAGCGGGTGACAGAGCGGCTGGTGCAGGCTCAGGAGAGCAGCTTGCGGCAAGCAGCCTCCCTGAGGGAGCAGCACAGGTACTGGGGCCTTACCGGATCAGCAGGTGCTGTAAGTGCACTGCCCATGTCCTCCCAGTCCCTTTGCTATTCCCCAGCACACTGCCCCATCCTGGACCTACATCTCCCTGTGGGAGAGCTGCCTGCAGGCACACGTGGAAAGCCAGAGTGCCTGAGAATTTTCATCCCATAGGGAGAGCCCTTAACCAATAACTGAGGGGTGCAGGAAGATATCTTCCCAGCCTTCTGGTCCTGATGGGGACAATGCTGAGGTCTGACCTGTACCATCTCCAGAGTGGCCGTGGGACTGAGCTTCCTCCTCATCCCACTCCCACTTCCCTTTATCCCCATGCCTCTACCAATTTTTTCCAGAAATGCTTTGTAAGTGAATCACCTTCTCATGAATCCTCATCTCAGTCTGTTGCTGGGGAAGTCATCCCAAGACACCAGCTCTGCCCTTCCCTCTGCTGAGCCCACCTGTGGGGTGGCAGGGCTGCCCGGCTGTCTCACTCTCTCATGCACACAGTCTGGCTTTTCCTCATTGGATTCCTCCTTCTGTCTCTAGACTCAGTCACCTGAGGCTCTCAGACCTTCTCACCTGTGTCCCTCAGGAAACAGCTGCAGGACCTGAATGGCCAGCACCAGCAGGAATTATCCACCCAGTTGGCTCAGTTCAAGGTGGAGATGGTGGAACGAGAGGAAAGGCAGCAGCAGGTGGCTCAGGACTATGAGCTCAGGTAGCTCCCTGGGTGACCCTTCTGTGCTTCATGGTCTCTCCTGTGGCAGACCCAAGCTGGGAAGAGTGAAGGGCTGCTCCCATGGCACCCCTGTCCTCTTCTGCACTGGCTCCAGCTCCTTCCAGAAGTTTGGATTCCATTCTGACTCTTCTTACTTTCCAAGCCTCTGCTCCCTCAGAAGCCCTGTATCACCTCTCCCATCTTCTCTTCAGACTGGCCCGGGAGCAAGCACGCACCCGTGAACTGCAGAGTGGCAACCAGCAGTTGGAGGCACAGCAGGCAGAGCTGGTAGAGCGGCTTCAAGCCATGCTGCAGGCCCACTGGGAGGAGGCCAGCCACCTGCTCAGCGCCAGCACCCTGCCTGCTAACCCCCCGGTAGGCATTGCCTTTTGGACTAAGCTGCTCCAGGTTGTGTTAAGATGCCTTCTGTGGAAAACCAGCTCCCTCCCAAGGGAAGTCCTAAGCTCAGTTCTTGGGACCTGCATTAGAAAAATAAATCTGTGGATTTGCCTAAAAAATAACTGTCTCATCAAAAGAAATGTTTTTACTGTGGCCACTGCTCACCCAGGCCAGCTGCACTGCATTGGGTGTAACTCTGTTTTTTTGATGACTAGTAGGTGGTACTAGTTTTGCAGAACGGCAGCTGAATTGATGATGATGGTAAGGGCCAAAAGTTCTTGCTCCTAGAGGAGGATGAGAAGTCTTACCTTTAGCCCTTCTTATGTTGGCATCTCCTACTTCTAATTATTAGATTTTTATTATTAGCTAAAATATTTTTTGGAATAGATAATAATATGTGCATATTTTTTAAAGTCCAAACAGTTCAGAAAGGTTTACAGTGAGGGGTAATCTCCGTCCTGTCCTACTGCCTTGGTCCCCCAGTACTCTCCCCAGAAGCAGCCAAGCCCCTGTTGCTGGTGTCTTGAGTGCTCCCATCCCAAAGGGTAACCACCTTCTATGCATGGTTGTCTCCAGTATTTTGGTTCTACAGGCAGTGCTTCAGTAGATACCATTAACATATGTCTTTGTGAAAGTATATCTGTAAGATTTCTGCAAATGGAATGTAAGGTCAAAAATAAGCTTTTTAAAGTTTGATAGAAATTTGGTAGATGTTACCAAAGCTCCTTTTGAGGACATTCTACTAATCTGTAATCTTAAATGTCTGTATCATGTCTTGTCTCCTTAAATGCACTGGGCTTTGATCCTTTTTTCTGCCTCTCTAGGTAGGTACCCAGGTTCCTACTACCAGCGATTCCAGCCCGGGGCCTCAGGAAGCAGAGAAGGGGGAGAGGAGGATCTGGACTGTGCCGCCCGTGGCTGTGGCCCTAAAGCCTGTATTGCAGCAGAGCAGGGAAGCAAGAGAGGAGCCGCCAGGAGTGCTGCCTGTTCTCTGCAGCCCCTCCCCAGACCTTAGCCTCCTGCTGGGCCCCAGCTTCCAGAGCCAGCATTCCTTCCAGCCCCTGGAGCCAAAGCCCGATCTGACGTCATCCTCAGGTAGATGGGGTAGAAGTCACTGTGCTTCCCTTACATGTTTTACCTGTCACTTGGCTTCCTTTCCATCTATGACTTGAGCATTTATTTTCCCAGACGTCTTAGTGACCATAAATGGCAAGAACCAGAAATCCGCAGAAGTTGGTTGGCATGAAGGAAGTGAGAGCTCACAGCAATGTGACATAGCTGGGCTTCAGGAGAGCTGGAGTTGGAATGGGAGGCACCATCTGGCTACTCTTGGGCCCCCACAGGCTCTTGACTTGGCCTCTCCCTGCACACTTGCTTCTTTCCCCTGGTAGACCAGCACCCTCTCTCACTCAGGTTCTTGCTCCCATAACTTTCTCTTGCACATGGTTTTGACCAGCTATGACACTGGCTCTGGACAACCTTATAGAGACATTGGTGTCTCTGTTTTTTAGGTCCAGTTTAAAGAGAGTTGGGTTGGTAACCACCCCTTGGATTGGCTGACCTTGAGTGTGGTGGCTACCCCTGGCTTCGCCAGCTGTGACTTGGGGTGGTGGAAGTGCTCTTTGCAAACATGACAACCCAGGTTGAGTTAAAAATAAGAGATGTATTGATTAGCATGTATAAGGTTGGGGGGGGCATAGGGAGGGATGTGCAACACAGAGAAGACAAGTAATGATTCTACAGCATCTTACTACGCTGATGGACAGTGACTAGTGGGGTATGTGGGGGGGACTTGGTGAAGGGGGGAGCCTAGTGAACAATGTTCTTCATGTAATTGTAGATTAATGGTAATAAAATGAATAAAATAATAATAATAATAAAATAAGGGATGTATTATATTACAATTTTAAATTAAACAATGATGTAGTAATAATAAAAAGAATGAAGGCATGCTGATGAAGATCAGAACATGTCTGTTATCCTAAACCATTCTGTATATTGGCTTCTGTTCTTTGGGAAGTTTATGGTGGTAAGGTGGTAATTATTTAGAGCTTGAGCACCACAGCTTTCCCCTTCTATCTGCACTTCTTAGAATTCAGCTATGCCATCTCTCAGTCACTATCAACCATTCTCTCTTCAGCTGTTTTAAACTTTCATTATCTTCTTCTAGTTACCTGTCCCTCTTACATTTAATGGGCCCCTTCTGGGCATTTGCCAAGTTGATTTGTAGAGGAATCCCTCATGCTACAACACACAACACATCACTCACCTGTTTCACTTTTCAGCTGGGGCCTTCCACCCTAATCACAGGGCAGAACGGCCATTCCCTGAGGAAGATGCTAGATCCGATGGGGATGGCTTCCTAAAGCAAGGGCTGCTGCCCCCTGCGCAGCTGGAGGGCTTCAAGCATTTTTTGCACCAGGTAAGAGAGGACCCACACATCCCACCTAAATTTCTTCTCCCATTCCTCATTTCTGTTTTTTGTTCTAGGAGTCCAGGACTCTGGTGTCATCCCCCTTTTAGGTCTAACACTTTTCATCAGCCTCTCCCTCTCCCAGTCTGTCTGATTCCTATCCAGAAGTCCCTTCTGGAACTTAGGTGACCAGCCGTAGCTCTTACTTCCCTAGCCTCTGTTTCCCTCAGATGCCTAGGTCTCTTCCTGTACCGGTCCTCAGGGAACTCTTCTGTCTTGCTCCCCCAGCTGCTGGAGACAGTGCCCCAGAGCCACGAGAACACCTCTGTTGACCTGCCTCCTAAGTCTGGTGAGTGCCAACTCTGAAGAAGGTTGGGGCTGGGCCTGGAGAGCAGGGTGGTTATCTGGGATGAATTTTTAGGGTCTGGCAAAAGTGATAAAGCCTCATGCCGGCTAAGTGGTAGAACTTGCTTGGGTTTTGCCCCATTTCCGGATTCTTGGATCCCTTTCCTTTTGCTAGGTCCTCTGACCATCCCATCTTGGGAGGAAGCCTCTCGAGTGCCACACCTCCCACCCCCCGTCCATAAAACTAAAGTGCCCTTAGCCATGGCATCTAGTCTTTTCCGTGTCCATGAGCTCCCCTCAACCCAGTCACAGAGCAGTGGCCCTGGAGATAGCTCCCCAGAGAGAGGTAAGCCAGTCATGGTTCGTCAGGGGATGATGAGGGGGGGGTCGTGGCTGTGGAGTGAGCACCTGGAACTCAGATGGGTCAAGGGCTGGGGAGAGGGGCCCCAGGATGACAGCAGGGCTGATATGTCCCTCAGGTGGAGATGGGCTCGCATCCCCCAGGCAGCTGGCGGAGGTGTCTCAGCTCTTACGTCTCTACCAGGCACGGGGCTGGGGGCCGCTGCCTGCCGAGGACCTGTTGCTCTACCTGAAGAGGCTGGAACGCAGCGGGTACCAGTGCTGAGGGGAGGGAAGAAGGGCTAGGAACATGGACTCTGTGCTGTGGGCAGGAACTGGAGCAGGCAGGGAAGAGGGTGTGTGTGTGTGTGTGTGTGTGTGTGTGTGTGTGTTGTCCACTGAGAGAGTCTTTTGTCCCTATGTACGATGTGGGCCAGCAAATCTCCCTCTCCTCCCACTGTCTCTCACTGCTCCCCACCTTCAGTTTCTTTCTTCTTTTCTACTTGTTTTCTTCACTTCTAAAATAAAATCCCTTCTCCTTGTCTCTCTACCTTAGTTTTTTCCTCTTTCCCCTGAATCTCAGAACTCAGAATCCTAGGGTCGTGACTCATGGTGTAAGTCAGTATTTGGTTCTCCTAATGTCTCCTTCTATTTGATTCCCAGGTCTGTCTTGTTTGTTCTTATTCTTAAGAGGCAGAATTGGGGAGTAGCTCTTTGATCCAGTGTTGGGGAGTGGGGGGAACAGCTCCCCATTCTCATCCCTCGGTTTGTGTGGCAGGACGGACAGCCAAGGGGATAACGTCCCCAGAAGGAACACAGACTCCCGCCTGGATGAGATGCCCCGGAAAGAGGTGACGGGAGCAGGGAGGGGCAAGGGGCGGAAGAGTTCTCACGGGGGCTCCGTGCCCTGTACCTGACCCCTCCAATTCTGGTTCCTGCATTCTGTGGCATGAACTTTCCCCTTTGCTGGTTGAATCTGGCCCTCTCCCTGCACGGCGTCTTTCCTCAGTGGTGGGGGGTTGAAAGACCACTGAGCTGACTTTTTCTTCTCTTTTCCCTTAACTCTCAGATTCCCTCCCAGCCTCTCCCTCGCCGCCTCACCACAGCCCCTAAGACTGAAAAACCTCCAGCACGCAAGAAAAGTGGGCACCCTGCCCCTCCTGGCATGAGAAGCCGGGGGGGCGTCTGGAGATAAGCCCCTTGCCCTTTCTCTTCTCCTTTGTTCTTGCTATTTTAACAAATGCTCAATAGTCTGTATTGGAGTCTCTGACTCCAGAATTTGAAAAACAGAGGTTTTAGAAGAAACTATGGTATAAAAAAAACCTTTTTTATTCTGTTAGAGTATGTTTTTTGTATGTTATATGTTTCTGTTTTATATTCTATGGAAAAAGACATGAATGCTGTGAAGGAAAGATGGTCTGTGGCCAGGTTCAAGGGTAAAACCTGAAGTGATTAGCTCTGACTGGTCGTGGAATTTTGGGTAATATTTATTTTCTTCTTTATACATTTCTGTACTTTCCAAATTTTATAAAATGAGTGTCAGTTAATAATCAGAAAAAAATAAACTTGTAATAAAGAAGTAAATTATTGTGTACAGAGTATGAGTAAACATTTGATTACTCGGGAGTTTCTCTTTAAGAGCAGATAATTCTTTCAGACTTTCAGTGTGATGCTGATCGACATACTCTGCCCGGGTCAGCAGACGTAGTCTGCCTGCAAGCTTCAGTCTTATGCTCTAAAGCATGGATAAAAGACTCGAATGCTGACAAGGAAAACAAGCCATGATTACAAAAACCTCCATCCTGGTATTCACCCAAATAACAAAGCAGCGTCAGAGAAGGGACATGTACGTGAAGCTGAAGGAGGCTCCAACGTCATAGCACAGACACTGAGAAACACGTGGAAGAATGTAATTGCCCTGAAGGGTAAATATGCCCTGGGACCCACACACCCCAGCTTTCCAGCTCTGGAGTGCAGCGCAGTGAGGATGGTAAACATAGTCCCGAAGGGCCTGGGCCTAGGCGGGTGTTTGCGAGACAGAGCTCGCTCGATTCTGCGAGGAGGGTGAGGCCTTTCTGTTTGCTCCTAAGTTACTCAGTCAGCTCCAGAATAGACATGGTAGACTATAGATGCACACAGTGTTCCCTTTTACTTTTTTTTTTCAAGAAAGAATTCCCAAGCAGGTCGAGCAGGCACAAGCAAAGAGTAGTTTAATAAAGCAAAGGACACACTCAAGGAGGGAGTGTGGACCTGCTCCAGAGGTGAGCAGCGCCCTCGGTGTTTTATTTATAAATGTCTAGCTCTTCCACCGGCTCTAACTCTAGCCCCTTGGGGGCGGGGGCGGGGGTCAGAGGAATAAAAGTAAACACGCAGGACCAGCAAGTGTGCGGGCTCTCCTGCCCTGACTGGCCAGCACAGCTTGGTCCTCGGGCTTGCTAGGGCTTCTCCCTCCGGCAGAGAAGCAAAAGGCAAACTCAGGCAGGAGTACCAGGCTCAGGGGGCCTTGAGCCCCTGTGGAAATGTTTACTTGTGTATTTTTTAGCTCAAGTGCGTAAAATTGACCAAACTCTGTGACTGATGGCACAGTGTCATTGTTGGTAGGAGAGAGTTTAATTCCATTTTTAAAAGATGGTAAAGTGAACAGCCAGCCTATCTCATTATCTTGGGTTCCAACCCGCCACTATCAGTCAACATGCCCTACGTTTTTCTTGACATGAAGGACAGTCAGGAGAATTTACCAACTCCAGGACAAAATCAGGAAAGGGCACGGTGCTGACTTCACCATTTTGAGAGCTAATTATAGTAAGACAACTTTGATTTAAAAAAAAAATATTGTACCCACATCAAAGTTTGTTTCTTCATTAAAGACCATTAGGAGGCTCGAGAGGGGGCAAAAACCTACAGACAAGCAGCCTCCCACTTTTTCCTTCCACAATCATCCTGGGATTATTCTGAGAGGGGAAAAAAAATGAAAGATCTGGGGGCTCTGTAAACATCCACAGGCTGAGTCGGCAGGTGCGGCCGCTCAGCTCAGGTTTCACTTGGTGTGGACGGGGTGTGATGTGGGCCTTCGTCTCCTGAGAACTCCTGCAGCCCCTTGGGGTGGGGCGGCTAAAGGTTCTGGTGGTGGGATATATTTGGGTGAACACTAAGCTGCTTTAACAAGGAAACCCAATGGTACAATGGCTGTGGACAAAATTTATTTCCCTGGTAATAGAACAGAGCAGTGGGTGGCCCTTCTCCTCACTGGTCACCTAAGGTCTCAGCTTTGTTCTTCACTCTGGTTCAATCTACTAGCCCCTCGATCAGTGTCATTATTTGTGTGGTGGAAGCAAGATCATTGTCATGTAGGACTCCCAGCTGGCAAGAAGGGGAAAAGCCATGTCCTGTGTCTTAAGGTCCATACTTCGAAATGCCACACATCAGTTGTGCTCATATTTCATTGGGAAGACCGTGGTCACCTGGCCACATCTGACTGCGAGTATAGCCTGGCTGGCTGCCATAAGTATGCAGCTATAACTATTATTACATAAGAACTTAGGAAGAAGGAAAGAATGGACCTGGATGGACAACTAGCAGCCTGTCCTACAGACAGTGAGACCTCCTGAGAGAAACTGAACAGTAATGATTGCTGAGGAATCCGTTCTGGTAGTCATTGCCTAACTGTGGATAAGGAGAGGACATGCTGGACATGTGTAAATTAGTCCACGAATGTCAGGTTGTCACTTAGGAGGTGGAGCAATAGAAACTACATAAGCCCTGTGGGTGGGAGATCCAAGAGAGGCTAGGTAGACCACTTTGGGAAACGTTTTGGCATTACCGAATAAATGTAATGATACCCACACTGAACGACACAGTGAATCCATCCCTAAAGATGTGCCCTGGAAAAAAACTTGCCCTTGTGTGCACCCGCAGACAAGTGTCAGAACGTCATAGCAGAAACCTGCGTATAATTCAATGTCCAACAGTGGGAGAGTCATATAATAAAATACCATACAGCAGTATTAATGGATGAGCTAAAGCTACATGCATCAATACAGATGAATTTCACAAACATAATGTTGAGAGGAAAAACCAGATTGCAGGAGAAAATATACAGTACTCTATTTCTGTAAAGTCAGAAAATAAGCACAGGACAGTCCTGAGTAGGGAGGGGTGGGAGCTCTCACAGGGGTGGCCTGGCTCAGTGTTGGAGGTGAGAGCAAGGCCCTGGGCAGGATGGCCTGGCGAGGTGTCGGAGCATCGGTGGGGTGAGACAGGGCTTCTGTGCAAGGGAGGATGAGGCAGGAAGATTATTACATATGGGGGATTGATCAAATATGTAAATATGAATAATGTAGGCTAGGTTTCTCACTATTAGAGGAAGGATTTACAAATATGGAAAGAGGGAAAATGAACTCTGTGGTGTTGGATTAGAATTGAATGCATCACTGTGGTCTCCTGGTCTTACATATAACAGAGAAATACAGAAATACATATAGATGCCAATTGGCATATTACATATGTTCACATATTCCCTTGCAACATCCCTGTATTAGTTTCCTAGGACTGCTCTAGTAAATGTCCACAAACTGGGTGGCATTACCCAACAGAGATTTACTTCCCCAGATCTGGAGTCTGAAATCTAGGTGTGGCAGGGCCATGTTCTCTGAGGCTCTGGGAGGCTACGTCGTTGCCCTTCTAGCTTCTTGGTTACCTGTGATCCTTGATGTTCCTTGGCTTGTGGACACATCACTCCAGTCTCTACCTCTTTTGTTACGTGGTGTTTGCTCTGTCTGTCCTCCTGTGTCTCTGCATGGCCTTCTTATTAGGACACCAGTCATTGGATTGGGGGTCTGCCCGAGTCCAGGCTGACTGTATCTTAACTGATCACATTTGCAAAGGCCCTGTTTCCAAACAAGGTCATATTCAGAGGTACTGGGAGTTAGGATCTCAACATACCTTTTAGGGGAACACTTTCAACCCATAATAACCCCATTAACAATGAATACACCGAGCTTTCAGCTCTTGCCTTCTAGATGCCATTCTTTACTAGAAAGGAACCAGGGCTCCTTGGAGAAATGGCAGATTCCAGGTCCAGTTCAAGGAAAGTACAAGACAAACCTAGAAAAAAATCTTGAGGCAGAAGATGTGCTCATAGGACATTGGGGACATGGCAAAATACAGAAGCTGGTTCTACTGCCTCTGCAATTTGAGTATTGAAATAATTATATGAAGGGATTGTAATCTACTGAATAAAATCATGAGTTCATACAAATATAAATAAATAAATTGTAAGTTTGATGAGGTACAGGATTTTTACAGAGTTTTAAAATACATCCCACAAAATACTGATTACAATGGGGAAAAGTGTAACTTTACAGTAGAGACTTCCGGCTGAACCACCTTGATCAAGTGATCAAAGTGGACATCGTAATAATGAGTCAAATCTAAATCGTGTTCCACCTGATAGGATGCAAGGAAAATACAGCGTTTGTGAGATCTTGCCAAAGATCCATATCCCAACTTTAACCATGAAGAAACCTCAAATAAACCCTAACTGAGGAACACTCGACAAAATTATTGGCGTATTATTTTCAAAATTGTCAAGGTCATAAAAGTTAAGAAAGGACCAAAGTTAACTACCAAGACATGAAACTCAAAGCAGCACGTGATCCTGAACTGAGCCATTTTGCTCTAGTGAACTTTACTGGGACAGCTGATGAAACTTGAAAATAACTGAGGATTAGATGGTAGTGATAGACCACTGCTAATTTCATGATTTTGATGTTTGTATTGTAATATAGAAGAACCTCCTTGCTTGCAGGAAATCAGACACTAAAGCATTTGGAGGCAATGAGGCCTCCTGTTGACAACTTGCTCTCAAATGGTTCAGGGGGAAAAAATATTATTTGTATAGTACTTGCTACTTTTCTGTAAAGTTTGAAATTGTTTTTTAAAAACCAGTATGTTCAAATCCAACAGGATAAATTTTTTAAATGCCATTTATGTAGCATTAAATACCTAGGGATAAATGTAAGGAGAGACAAGCAAAACTTCAATAGAGGAAAAAACGGAGGCAAAAATAAATCTTATACTACTTAGGAATAACTACCTTGTGCGATAAAATGAAAAAGGAAACAATATACACCAAATTCAGATAGTATTAACCCCAGGGGTCTGGGGGAAGGTGATGTGATCAGGACACAAGAGCTTCAGGGCCTTGGTGATAATCCATTTCTTCAACTGACTGGTGATCACAAAGGTGTTTGTTTATACTTACATATTTCACATATTTTTTTCTCCTATCAAATATTTCAAAGTAAGGAAGAAAAATGCACATATTATTGCACTTATATTTGAAAAATTAACTATATGTAAAACTGTGTGTGTACATACATGTTTATAAAATGCATAAAGAAAGGACTAGAAAGAGGCCCACTAACAAAACAAAATGTCTTATACCGTATACTTTTACAAATTTATACTGAGCACGTAGCAAATTGTATTAAGTTGCTGACAAGGGAAAGCAATAAGGAGAAAAGTTAGCCTCAGTGGAAAGTTGTTAGTGTGAAATGGCAAGAAATACCGTGATAGAGCCTAGAGA